AGACTAATGCATCACTGTACTCGCTTATATTTTCTGTCACTAAACCACTGATAGTGCAGTACACAGGAAATTTCAAAGCTTCTTAACACAGGAGTTCCTGTGGGCCTCGCTGACAGCAAAACAGAGTGTACCAGAGGATCGAGGAGCTTATAAGGCACAGCAAGAGGGAATTATTTTCAGATTTCCACAGAGTTTGCAAGCCAACAACTCAGTTAGATCAAATAAAATAATTTAAATGAATCTCGACGCACTGTACCCCCCCTCACAGGAGCAAGCCTGAAATGACAGTGCCAAGAAAACAACCCTGTGATATTTTTACATTACAAGACCATTCTTGGCAAACCCCTAAGTGAGCATCTTGGCAGAAAATAATTGGTTAAATAAAGTAGTGTGGAGTGATAATTATACACCACCACTTTCGTCTAAAAGGAGTCCTAATATATAACTTCTCTATTTAATTTTTTTTGGTGATAATGTTTTCAAAATGCTACTGTAGGCAAAGAGAACAAAAAAAAAATCATTCCTGCAAGTGTATTGAGGTAGAAATATGGGTAGTAAACAAAAACACTGAAAGCATCAATTTTTATAACAATTGAAAGGTGTCCCAAATTTTGCTTTTTTGAGTCTTGCTTGGCCTGAATGCATGTTTGAAGGCTCATTCCATTATTATTGATGCTAAAAAGTTTGTCTGAACTGGTTCGAAGCAACATTATTCAGCAGAATTACCTCTGATGGCCAGTTATTCCAGTATATAAGGTGACATGAACTTCAAGCAGTGTCACAGAGTTAAACACAATGGCACAACAGAAAGAGCTCTCTGAGATTGCTCGTAGCCGAGTTGTGGCCTCACATGATCCTGAAGATGTCAAATCCTGCCAGGGCACTGTTAGAAACACCATCAAGCATTTCAAAGAGACTGGTTCGCTGAAAACTAGTGGAAATAGAGGTGCAAAATGGAAGTTAAGTGCCTCTGATGTTCGGTATCTGAGTATGACAAGTAAAAAAAAAAAAATGGCGGTTGACAGCATGACAACTCTGTGACGATATTAATAGCATCGGAAGTGAAGAGATGAAAGTATTAAGATCTACTATTTCCAGACGCTTGTGTAAAAATGGTCCGATTGGTTGTGTGGCTGCCAAGAGCTGGCATCATCAAAAACAAGACTTGAATTTGCCCAGAAATTCAAGGACTGGACACTAATGGACTGGGAACAAGTCCTTTGTGCTGATGAATCAAAATTCTAAATTTTCTCACCCTTCAGTGTGATGGTTCTGCCCTGCAGTCCCTCCCCCTCCTGCTGTCTTCGCCTCCACTTCAACGAGCCGCACCTGTTGCTGAGACACACCTGTTGCTCGTTGAAGTGGAGCTGAAGTTTAGAGTATTTAAGAGCTGCACTGCCAATTGGCAGTGCAGCTGCATTCCGGCATTTTTAGCTCTGTGTGTCTTGCTGCTGCTCCCCTGTCTGTTTTTAAGTAAATTTATTAAACATCTTTTTGTTTGTACCAGCCTGTGCGAGTGGGTCCCTTCACCCAACCATGACATTTCAGTAAAACATGGAGGAGGTAATATAATGGTTTGGGGATCAGTCTGCTCGGAGGGAGCCAGTGATCTCATAAAAATCAATGGAATCATGGATCAAAAGAAGTGTCACAGCCTCCTTGTGAGGCACGCATTACCATCTGGAAAGAGACTGATTGGTCGAGGATTTTATTTTCAACAAGATAATAACCCTTAACACACTTCTGAGTAGAGCAAGAATGATCTCAGTCGGAAAGAAACATCTGGTGACATATAGGTTATGACTAAGCTTATTAACTGCTCCCTGCAGTTAGCCTGAATTCAAACCTTGTGCCCAGCACTTAAGCATACACCACCGATGACTGTGTATTAAGCAGCTGTAGCATTGGGATATGAATTGGCTGTTTAGCCAAACAAATTTGATTGGTATGCACTCGAGGACATTTGGTCAACCCTCACTGAATTCCCCCCAGAAATTCCACTGTAGTCTAAACCTTTAAAATGGGTTGTTATGCACAGATAAGCCATTACTTAATGCGTGGCCATCACATGTCAAAGGGAAGCTGAGTCCAACAGTACTTTTTTAGCTGTAAACTTACAGAGTGTTTGCACATATCAATAGTGCCTAACACACCAGTAATTTGAACGTTATGTGATTTTCAGCAGGCGCTTATGAGTTATTGATCTAGGCTTGCGCGTACTCAGTAAACCATAATAGAAACACCACTCTTGGGTAAATAGGGACTGCACACAATAAACGCTTCCAAATCATATTTTTGATAGTCTGATTCTGGTTTTTAACAAATATTTATCATCTCATGGTGTTTTAGGGGCATATACTTCAGCAGTTATCCTTATTGATAAATTACACATGCAAGTGAGAAAATTAGCTTCAGGGCAACAATTAAGTGCCATGTAAGTCCAGATACTCAGTCAAGCCAGCCAACTGTTACTTGCAGTGACATAAGCTGTTTATGAAACATGGCCACAGCTAAAATGACATCACTCACATCTCTGCAAAGAGAGGAATAATCCTTTAAGACAAGCAATTTTGAAGACAATGGAGAAAAATAAAACCTATGCGGACGTCTCCCCATTCCACAACTGCAATGTACGGCACTGCCATGTTTGACAACACCAATTCACTCGGACTCATACTGCCGATTGCTCTTCTCCACACGCTTTTGCTGAATCACTTCGGTAATACATTATATATTTGGGTCAAGACCGTCAATGATGGCTGCCGGGTTAGCTCACTCGGTTAAGGCGCAATGCAGTAGTGATGACTACGGCGCAAGTTCGATCCCCGGTCGTACCAACCAGCAATGGTCGGCAGCTTTTTCAGAACAGTGCACGATTGGCTAAAAGCGCTGTAGGGATGCAAATTGGGAAGGGACTGCTGGGAAGGGAAATTAAGAATGATTGCCTTGTTCGTTGCTCTAGCACCACCTGTTGGCCAGCCGGCCGCTCGTCAGTGAGATTCTGAGCTTGCTCATGTTTGGGTATCCTCCGCCCTCATTCTGAACTTGCGATAGTTTCGACCAGTGAGTGTAAAGACGCAGGGGCTGACAGGCACGTGCTTCGGAGGAAAGCCGCAAACTGTCTCTCTCTCCTGAGCTGGCAATAGGGGGTTGCATACGAGCAAGCCTAGTACATAGTTCTCAGATTGGGCATTCCAGATTTGGGTGGGATTGGAGATGCCAAATTTATAAAAAAAAAAAAAAGACCGTCAATGATCTTTGTGTTATGCGCGTTGTATCGCAGAGTTCTCGTCCATTGACATTGCATTTTGATGAGAATATTCATAAAACTTCCTTCTTCAAAGGGTTAAGTCACGTTCCCTAGCTGCCTCAACTGAAACAAGTTCATATGAACTCTGTCCTCGAGACAATGGCGCGTAATTAGGTAAGTGCTTGTGCAGGGTGGACGTGCATGCTTCCTCTGCCCTTTTTGCGAAATCTGGCTCAATTAATGCCAGAGTGCTAACATGCAGAATACGCTTGTCAAGCTTCACGGTGAAATGTTAAGTGATAATGGAGGAGCGGTGCTTCAAAGTTAACGTCTCAACCAAGCAGAAGAGGAAGAAGGAAAATAAACTGTGTGAGTTTTTGGTCCTCATCCCGAGCACTGACCAAGCTCCAATGCAGTCTGTTTTGTAGTGGTACCAGGGCTTGGTAAACTGCTCGTCTCCATGGCAACATATAATGGCAAGAACAAGCTAACGCGCGCACACGCTCACACACAATCGCAGGCTAAAGCTTGTCCAAACAAATATCTGCACACAAGCGGTCAGAAACTCGCAGAGTGATTGAAACAGTTATTTAAAAAAAAAAACTAATTTCATGCATCACAAGCAACTTCACACAACCTTTGTTACGCCTAATATGGCTTCTACTGATAATAGACAGATTCCCCTAATTTTCTGGGTATAGACCAACAAGCGGGAGTCGAACCTCCGTTAAAGTCATTTAACAAACCGTGTGGCAAGAGAGGCACATCTTTAAAACATAATTTTACAAGGGGAATAAAAAAAAATAGCATATTCACTTTCAGCAGCACTGTTGCAAATGCATTTTCCAGGTGATAATCATATTTATATTTCATTTGCCTGTATTTTTGCGGCCTATACCGCATGCCACTCTCAATTCATTTGAAGCTTCTGACAAATTTAATGGCTTCTGCGTTTCCGTCTCCTGTCCAAAGACAATGAGGCTGCTAGTCTTGAAAAATAATCATAATCTTAGATCTAATCAAACCAAGTGTCAAATTCATGCTCCTGCACCCCTGCCAGGCCATTATTTCCCAGCCAGAACGCTAGTAATCATGAGATACCTTCAAACTCATGAATTGAATATGAATTCAATTCAGTGAAGCAGAGATTAGGATCTGTCACATGTTCAGAGCTATTTAGAGACAGAATGCTCCCAGGAAAGTATTAGGCAGTTGAAAGCTATCACATTCTCAACAGATGGGAACGCAGGAAAGTTCAATTTGACTCTAATGGCCAAGAAAATGATGCTCAATTTCAATTTAAATTTTGCACATCCCAGACATTAAACTGTTAAAAGTGAGGAGAAAAGAAACGAAACAAAAAATCCATTGAATAAAAATCAATAAGACTCTCCATTCTGTTTTCAAATGTGCAGGCATATATATGCATTTTTTTTTTTATTTAGAGACTGACAGCTAAATCCAGGCGAAAGCACTGACAACAGGTGTGAATGAGAGACGATGAAGGTGACTAAAACATGATTTATAAACATCCGTCAGCACAGTACCCCGACCATAGTACTGTCAGAGCTGTGGAGCTGCTTCCAAGAAGTTGGAATTAAAGAAATAAAATAAATAATAATAATAATAAGCATGAAATACTCAGATCCCCCGCCACAGGATGGCTGATATCTGTCCTCAAAGGACAGACGGAAGTATGAAAAGGGATGCCTAAAAATTAAGATGTAGCCAAATATTGAACTTTATTTTTGGCATGGTGGTGCAGTGGTTAGCGCTACCGCCTCAAAGCAAGAAGGTCGTGGCTTCGAATCCGGCCTGGGGCCTTTCTGTGTGGAGTTTGCATGTTCTCCCCGTGTTTGCGTGGGTTTCCTCCGGGTACTCCGGTTTCCTCCCACAGTCCAAAGACATGAACATCTGGCTAATTGGAGATGCTAAATTGCCTATAGGTATGAGTGTGAGAGCGAATGGTAAGTGAGTGGTGTGTGCACCCCGTGATGGATTGGTGAGCTGTCCAGGGTGGGTCCCTGCCTTTCGCCCATAGTCAGCTGGGATAGGCTCCAGCTCCCTCCGCGACCCTAGTGAGGAAGAGGCGGGTATAGAGAATGGATGGATGGATGGTTTTGGAGTTCTGGCCCAGAAAATAAGTGTGACGGACAGACAGACTGACAGACACCTGGAAGGACAACACTCATTTCTACATCCCCATCCACTTAGTAGGGGAGGATAATAATATATGGGAGGTGGGCAGACTGCCTGGCTCTTATTAAAATAAAATAAATATGCAACCAACTCAAATTAGTATGTATTCAAGAATTGATAAAATTTACAGTAATAATACACCAATCAACGATGTTGTCAACAATGGCATTCTTTCCAGTCTGCAAAAATACTTTCAAGTAATGGCTGGTAAGTGGCCTTGTTGCAGTTAAGATAAAAAGCGTCCACCAAGTTGCTTTTTTGAGAGAGAAAATTGCTTGTCTTAACTGACAGTGCACTGCCAATATGGGACTCCCAGATGTCCTGACATTTAGATCAGAAAACCGTTAATCACAAACTGAAACACACAGCACTCAGAGAGCAATCACAATGGAGGTCTTTATCCTTGAGACAAAAATGAGAACAAGTCCATTAAACTATCAAATTAAAACAAAACCCCACATGCAAAAAGTATTTTTTTCCCATTTCTAGATTCTTTCTCAAGTCTTAGTAATGGAGCATGTATGAATGAAAGCATTAAAAGGGTCAAGAATAGTTAATGTAATAATGCCTACACTACACAATTAATATACACAACCATTTAACTGAAAAGTTGTAGAACTTTGGCTTAAATAATGGCTAGTGCTATAAACAAAGGCTACGGTATAATGGTGGCTAAAAAATCCACAAAATTAAAAAAAAAAGTAAATATGATAATTTACACACATATGTGAACTGCACAGAAATTTCTGGAAGGACTCCAAGCCCACGGAGCAGCAAAGGCAATTACTTTCCGAGCAAGTGGAGAAAGTTTAAATATTTTTTGCCAGGTTCTTTATTAAAAGAAAGCAACCAAGTTGGCAACAGTGAGAGGTTTGTGGGCATTCTGGCACCTCGAATGCCCATCTGCCCGTTGGTAGATTTGATTAAATTCAAGCAGATGTCAGCTCATTTCTCAATTGTTAATCACAGATTATGGAAAGTGAACTATTGTACGCTGTGCATTTAATAGCATGTAGTCAATAGTCCCTGAATGTATTTGATGAAAAAAGTTCACAGAACCTTTTTTTTTCCCAAACTTGTGAAAACGATTGTCATAGTAAGAGTTTTTGGCACAGTAGGGGACTTCCGTGAGAACAAGAGGGGTTCTGCGGCAGATGTGAATGCAGACAAGCTCTCCTTCCTGCTATATAATGTGTCAAAAATGTGTCCGGCCGAATTGGTGACCATTGTTAGACTTTTAAAATGAATGACATAATGTAAATAATTTCAATGACCAGAGTATAAAAATGCAAAAAATTGCTTTAAGAAGACATTCTCATCAATACACCTCCCAACCCCCCAGCACTCCAGTTTTGAAACCCAATCAAGGTCATGACTTGTAACATTTGCACACAAAATTTCACTCATATGGGCAAACTAGATTCTAAAAAAAAAACTGTCCCTACTTATCCGGACGGACAGATAGACAGACAGACAGACAGACAGACAGAAGAAAGGAAGGACGGATGAGCTTCATTGCAATATCCTCGCTCTCATTTGTGGTGGGGCTTTAATAAGTTACTTTTATAAGAAAGTTACAATCTCCGTGGATTTGGGACATTATATTGGAGCAAAATCTTTGCTCAATCCACACAAAATAATCTATTTTCTTTTCTACCCCAACATTGATGATGTTGGCTGCCCTATCAGTAATAACCCCCAATAAATCAATATCCGGAACAAAATTTGCATGTTGATTGAGTTCAGAGTGAATGCTGCTGATTGGTAATATTAGAATTAATGCACAGCCAATGATTTTTTTAATAATTATTTTTTCGATTAGAATAATTTTTCTTGCATTGTCACAACCCAAAATAAAGTTATCGGGGGAGAGAAAAAACTCTAAAGGCGTCAGAACTGAAAGACACTAATGAGAAAGAACCATTAAGCACATTTATGGCAGGACTTAATTAAAAGTATTCGCTGTGGAATTCAAATCCACTTAATCTCTGTAAAATAACACATTACTCAGTCAAACAAAAACAAGTGTTCCAAGATTAATCTACTGTGGGATGTAAGGTGTTCTTGGCAACATAAATACCCTTTCAACATTAGCGACAAACAATAATATATGTTTAGGTCCTTCAAATTTCCCAAAAAGTACACTTAGCCCTCCAGAAATTTCTCTTCCGAGGTCAAAAAGTTTGTTCAAATACCGAGTGATGGCAGAAAAAATGCTCATGCTCAATACTCTATGGAGAATGCAACTGCGTGCTTTTTAACTCTGATAAGTCCGGTACTCGGAGGTTTAGCTGCTCTAAACCAAAAAAAAAAACAACAAAAACACAAGTACAGCATTGCAAAAAATACAGGACTCCATAATCTCAATTCAGCACACAATAACCCCATAAAACCTACTGACCCATATTTCGTTTGCGAAATGCAGCAGTTGTATTCAAACCTGCGGAACTTCAGGCCCATTTTAAATTCACATGGAGATCCAGAGTTTTCCAATGATACCAAATATGTCCTGCTGAATTACAGGGAGATGTGTATAAAATAATGTGCAAGATCTAGATATTTTCTGCTTGATGGAATGCTGTGGCCGTAAAAACATGGCATCCTGGGTTTGAACATGTCACTCAATATAAGTGTGATGTAGCTTCAGTGGAGCACTGCAACCAGCAGATGCAGAACATGTATGATATTATCCTACAATATGAAAAAAATACTTTTTCTGACTTTGAACCTACTTAAGTGTGCAAACTTAAGTTAAAACCTAAGAGTTTAAAGGGATTTAGATAAAAATTACGAACAAAGACAGTCATCGAGCTTCAAGCAAAATACTATCACTTCTGCTGGCAGAGGTCATAACTGTGCAGAGATTTTGGTTCCCATATCCATCAAGTAAGCCCCCCCAAAAAAAAAACCAAGGACCACTTGCCGTAATATTTACGCAAAGTCCGAGACTGGCACATGAGAACACCAGGACTACTCACATATTCAAGGGCTGCCATGCTGGCCATTGGGCTTTGGCTTTGATCACTGTCAGGACATCGTCACCCTGCAAAAACAAACACGAGAGAAATCGATCATAAAGTGGGTAAACAGGCAGGCATAACCTGTGAGAGGAACTGTCCCGGCAAGTTTGAATGTAATTATCACATTCCACCGTCAAATGAAAACAGCACCTCTCCGTGCAGAGGGGCTTCACAGTTACAAAGATGTGAGGGAATGATAAACCGCTAAAGGTCATGGGGGGCGTCAATATTTGTAAGTGGTAAATATTTAATGAGTATTGGCGTGAGTTTAGGCACACAGAGTGAGCTTACAGCTCCGACATGACCTCAGTTATCCCCTCTAATGAAGAATCTGAGACCGGCCCTCTCATATTCTGACTGGCCTGAGCGGTGTGGACGGAAAAAATTCAGCAACTCTACCGTTTTTTATTGACAGAGGAAAAAATAAAGCTATAGATTTAGATCCTTTCCAATTACATGAAGAAGATTTAATTTTCGAGGAGTCCATTGCTAAAACAGAATAATCTCTGCAAATAAATAATCGTCTCTAAAATAAGTTCTCTTCATCAAAATGTCTAGACAAGAGATAAAATAAATTGAAATAAAAATAACTAAGCCAAAGAAAGAACAATATAAAATTGAATATTGCGGAGCAGCAATTCAGTCTTTACCTGGCTGACGGATTTATGCTGAATAACTCCAGAAAGGACACAGGCTACGTCAAAAACAATTGATGCATGTCAGAATAAAAGCCCTGTGGCCTGGTGCCGAGAGACAGGACAGGAGGCCGCTGTGTACAGGCACAGCATCCAGAGGCTCCTCCAGCCTCTGTCACAGGAATCCCATGATGCATCTGATTCATGGGGGAGAAGTGTAATTCACCACAGAATCTGGGCATCGCTGCATGCAGTGTTCACACAACCCCACTGGTCTCTGCCACAGTCTTCCTCTCACAGCTTGTGTGCTGTTAGCCTGATGCACAATGACCACTTACTTATCTAGTTACACAGGCCGGAAGCTACCACAGCTCTGTCTGATTGTCTGAATTTCCTCACTTTTTCAGTCACCAAGACGCAAATACAATTGACTGAAAATCCACACATTTTTGGTCGCCATGGTAATCGAGTTTTAAAACGGCTGTGAGGAAGTAGAAACTGGAAGATAGGAAACCAGCTCAGCGAACAACTTCATCCAGGAAAATGACTTATTTTGAACTATCCTAATGATTAAAAAAAGTATGTATTGTACATATAATTCTGTCACTAAAGGACGTGAGAGACTTCTGTTTGACTCAGTAAGTTAAAAAACAGTAGATATCCTGCCTTTTTTTGCAAGTGGAGTTCAGTAAAGTGTTCCCATCATGGCCAATGCAGCACTCATTCAATATATTGCCTCTAAATCTCTCGTCACTAAGTGTAGAGCCAAAGTAGATGGTTTTCTGTGGCGTCTTCCTTTCCTCTGAGCGACGTTCCATCACACATGGAGTAACCATTTTTTTTGTCAGGGAGAAGCGGTAGAGCAGTGGTTAAGCTGGCTTAACTTGGGATCAAAAGGTCCTGAGTTCAAGTCCTTCCCATGGCCTTTGTGGTGCATTCTGAGGCAAAAAACCTCACTCCACTCAGGGA